CGAACAAGCCCCAGTTCACCCGGCACCAGAAGAGCCCCCCGCCGGCCGGCGACGCCCAGGAGGCTGGGGGCGCGCGGGGCGCCGGGGACGTCGGCACGGGTGACATCAAGGACGTCGGCACGGGGGACGCCGGGGACGTCAATACGGGCCACACCAGGGACGTCAATACGGGCGACGGCAAGGATGTCAGCGTGGCGGCCACCAGGGACGTCGGCATGGGCAACACCGTGAACGTCAATATGGGCGACGTCAAGGATGTCAGCGTGGGGGCCACCAGGGACGTCGGCATGGGCAACACCGTGAACGTCAATATGGGCGACGTCAAGGATGTCAGCGTGGGGGCCACCAGGGACGTCGGCATGGGCAACACCGTGAACGTCAATATGGGCGACGTCAAGGATGTCAGCGTGGGGGCCACCAGGGACGTCGGCATGGGCAACACCGTGAACGTCAATATGGGCGACGTCAAGGATGTCAACGTGGGGGCCACCAGGGACGTCGGCATGGGCAACACCAGGGACATCAGCATGGGGGCCACCAGGGACGTCAGCATGAGGAACACCAGGGACGTCAATACGGGTGACATCAAGGATGTCAGCATGGGGGCCACCAGGGACGTCAATACGGGTGATGTCAAGGATGTCAACATGGGGGCCACCAGGGACGTCGGCATGGGCAACACCAAGGACATCAGCACAGGAGACACCAGTGACGTCAACTCGGGCGACGCCAAGGACATCGGCGTGGGGGACGCCAGAGACATCAGCATGGATGACACCAAGAACATCAACATGGGAGACACCGAGGTCCTCAACATGGGGGACACGAGGGACGTTGGCATGGGCGACACCGAGGATGTCACCATGGGGGACACCAAGAAGGTCAGCACGGGGGACACCAAGGAAGTCAACATGCAGGCCACCAAGAACATGGGGATGGGGGACACCAGGGACGTCAAGACGGGGTCCACCAAGGACGTCAGCACCGGGGGCGCCGGGGACGTCGGCATGGGGGACGCCAAG